TGGCCCACAAGACTGACTTCTGGGAGTAAGTGGATGGGAAGCATTCTTGCCAGAATATTCTTCTATGGCAGAGGGCTTTTTCAGGTAAAAAATCATCAAAATATGGTGAAATTTCAATCTGCTGTGCAAAGCACAATGAGCTCTGGTTTGAAACCTGTATGGGGTGCTAGTAAGCTTGTCCCAAACACAGTTTTTAAATTCAACCTTTTTTGAATGCCAGTATCTTCCAAAAGTCATTTTGTTGTTAAGATCTGGGTAACAATAACAGTTTTCTGATAAAAAAGAGTTGAAGATTTCAGTACATGGCACCTTTGAAGAAATCTCTTAAATGGTTAAAAAACGTGATGATAATGTTGAAAGGAAGCACAAGAGAATGGAAGAGATGGGAAAGATGATACGTAAATTTATACACTGAGGTCTGCTCTCTAATTCTTGGAATTACTGTGATGAACCCTGCCATGGATATCCTGTGGTCTAGAAAGGCACTGGGAAGCACCATTGGGCGGGCCAGGCTCAGTCCAGAAATGCACATAGGAATTAAGGTGGTGCTAGTGAATGAAGACAGGCTAGTCCTCCAGGACAAGACAAATGGGCAGTGAGGAACGAGAAGAGCTAAAAGGTATGACATTTTGGAAAAACTATCCACCACCCCTATAGAAAGAAAAGGGTGGCAGCCATCTCCTCCTCGGCATCATGGCCGCCCTCAGACCCCTTGTGAAGCCCAAGATCGTCAAAAAAAGAACCAAGAAGTTTATCCGGCACCAGTCAGACCGCTATGTCAAAATTAAGCGTAACTGGCGGAAACCCAGAGGCATTGACAACAGGGTTCGTAGACGATTCAAGGGCCAGATCTTGATGCCCAACATTGGTTATGGGAGCAACAAAAAAACAAAGCACATGCTGCCCAGTGGCTTCCGGAAGTTCCTGGTCCACAACGTCAAGGAGCTGGAAGTGCTGCCCACATGCAACAAATCTTACTGTGCTGAGATCACTCACAATGTTTTCTCCAAGAACCGCAAAGCCATCGTGGAAAGAGCTGCCCAGCTGGCCATCAGAGTCACCAACCCCAATGCCAGGCTGCACAGTGAAGAAAATGAGTAGACAGCTCGTGTGCATGTTTTCTGTTTAAATAAATGTAAAAACTGCCAAAAAAAAAAAAAAAGCCATTTTCGAGGGTCAGATATAAATGCCTTTAAAATTAATACTAATTGAAGTTTTCTCCCTAAAAGTTCCAAGGCGGTGGTTCTCAAATTTGAATAAACACAAGAATCGCATGGAGGGCTTTCTAAAATGCAGATTGCTAAGGCCCCAGCCCAGAATTTCTGATTAAGGAAGCCCAAGATGAGGCCTGGAAACTTGTATTTCTGGCAAGTTCCCAGGTGATGCTGATGCCTCAGTGTCTGAGGACTACACTATGAAAAGCAGTGCTCTAAGGCACACTACATAAAGTTGCTGGCCTGTGAATTTTAAGATCCCAGGAATATGACTTAAAGAATTGGCTGAAGAACAAAAGTCTTCATCACCTCACTTCTGCCTCCTAAAGTAAATAAATCAACAAAACAAAACAACTCAACATTTCAACAACAAATAATACAATACCAAAACTCATCTGTAGAGATGGCTTTTATCAGTGAAATCATCTGTAAGCAGTGGAAAGCTCCTAATATACTTCCCTAGAGACCAATCCTCGACGATAGTATAAGTTTTCTGTCAAATTTTTTTAACAGAAGCCAAGGCATCAGCGTGGTATCATCCCTGCATTTTTACCCGCAGAGTTTTCATGGTGGAACTCCCAAATCCATGTTTTAAGCAAAGAAACATACACAAGCTACTGAAGATTTTGCTGAGGTGAGGTGAAGGTTGAGTAATTCTGCAAATGTTTCCCTTTCCTCCAGTCTTTCAGATCCCTGGAGGCCTCTCCCAGGGCTTGTGGTATGGAGAGTTGGACCTGACCCTACTGTGAGAAACCCAACTTTCAAAAACTGCATCAGATGAAAGGCTCTCTATACAGACTACAGACTTGTCAGCTGGTTAAGGAGGCAAACAGAACAGTCTGCTACGAACTCTAGTCCATGTATCTCTGCTGAAAATAAAAGGAGTCTTTAGGAATCAAAGAAGAAAAGATTTTTATAAAGAAATTTTATTGCATAATTCTTGTATACAATAAACATAGGAAAAGGGTTTTTAATGAAAATTCATGTCATTTTTCAAAAGTTTTGAACTGTCTGGAGAAAAATTATTACAAAGCTATCTAAGGCAAAAATAATATTTAACCTTCAAAACAAAAGATAATCCCTGTTACCATTTTTTTTTTTTTATTTAAAGCAAGACTTTTAAACACAATTAATACGGAGAAGTTTTCAAATTGCTACGTCATTTGCATTAAGAATTTAAATGCATCTAAGAAGTGAAGAGTATAAACACATGGGAATGTTCTCTAATACAACAGATATTGCTTTCTTCAGATCCATTCTGTTTGAACGTAGGGCTGTACTTTTTGCATTTTCTAATGGTACAGTAAGAGCTGGAGTGCAGAGAGGGAAAGTCCCATGCACTTCCTATGTTAAATGGCATAACTCCCACAGATCACATACACCTCGCCATATTGACTCAGTTCATTGCACTCCATATCCTGCAAAAATAAATCTAGTGCTCGACAGCTGACATTATTGCTCACTGACGTTTTAGTAATATATTTCTTTCACGTAAGACAGAAATATACTGAAATTTGATACCACTTAAACCCAAAAGCAATCTGGAATTAAACCACATGCATACATCCCACTTTTTTTCAATAGATGTTGCGTTTTTCTTAAAGTTGATCCTGGAAAATGTGGTAAAAGAAAAACTGGCTTTCCTTGAAACAAAGACTAAGGATTAGAAAAAGAAGGGCTTTTTTTGAGTGAAATGTTAAGCCCTGCAACATAAATGAAGGAACAATGACAATCCAGTCTCTGTGGAGAGGCAAGAGGCCTCTGATTGATCCTCCTTGTCTCCCTCAACACTGTGGCCCACATCCCACGGACCCCAGGGGAGGCTATCCCACAGAGCTGGAGCAGCCCAGAGGTGCTGTGTGTGCCTCTGAAGGATGGGCTGCAGGCTGTGGCAAAGCCCGAAGAGACCTATTTCTTTGGCCGCCCCAAAATGGAATCCTGGGGTCACTGGGAAATACTAGGGCTTTCTCTGTGAGGTTGGGAAAGACTTCCAGGATGGTCTGGACACTGATGGCTGAGGTCTGGTCTTAAATTTTACACCTCATTTCTAGAAAGACGTGAAGTGTACGAATTCCCGAGTGAATCTAGGGCCTCGGGTGAAATGTCTTGGAATCTGAGGGAGCATCTGGATGCTCAGATGGAAACCTCTTATCGGAGCATCCAGATAAGATCAGGGCTCATCTGGAATCAAGCGTACATTACTATAAAGAGTCTACCGGGATGTCAGGCTTCTTAGAAAGGTGCCTGTAGAGAGAGACATGGAGGAATGTGGACATGGCCACACTGACACTGTTTGTCACAGCTTTTCATTCTAATTTCTTCTTGTTTCTTTAAAATTGTCAAATGTCCCTCTTCTTTTTTTGTCTTAGTGCTTACAAGGAAAGCTGTCAGTCTTCATAAGCTTTCAAAGAGTTACAAAAATACATACATATTTTAAACTACAATTCAAGATTAGCATCCAAAGCTACAAACACGATGTACAATCATCACACACCATACCTTCACACCTGGCTACAGCACTGTTGACTTATATCACCGTTGTTTATACTTGTGAAAACTTTATTGTGCACAGTGACATCCATTCCACCAGACTTAATGTTATAAAGCAACTGAGCAGAGCTTCTCAAAGTAAAACTAGCTGTGTTGCTACAAAGGAAAATTCTGGCTCTTGGCCCAACTGTTTCCATACCAATCAGCTAAGTCAGCCTCCTCTCTGCTTCTTTCCATTTCAAATGCCTGGGCTTTGGCCTTTGAGGCAATTAGAACCAGATCAGTTCAATTTTACAACACTGATCTCAACTGTATAGCAATATAGTGAATTTGCCCTGAGAGTATCAATACATTTTACAAATACTATGAGTCCCAGTTTATACATGAAGAAATAGGCACAGAGAGGCTAAATGGCTTGTCCCTTGTCACACAGAAGATTATGTTGAGTATGAAACTTGAGCTTCCGTTTTAGCTTTCCATGTGAATCCCCATGTCTCTCCAGAGGTCACCTGGAGCTCCGTGCACAAGGAACCCCCCCTTGGATTCTGTTTGTTACTTGTAGTGTCCTGTCAGTTTTTCTGCCCAGCACTGAATTTTTCAGTACTCAAGACTTCATCCTTGATCTTCTCTGCTCTCTCTCATTCCTGCTGCCTTGATGACGTGTGTTGCCCCTAATATTTTATTTTACACAGTGGAATTTACCAAAATGCCCTTCCAGCTGCAGCTGCTTTTAGGTGTGGAGAGAAGGACTTATAAAAAGGTGATGGACAGGCGTTCTTCTTTTTGAATTTTACACCAAGTGGGGCCCAATATTTTACAGTTGTTTTACATTCCAATGCTGCTTTCTTTTTCTTTTCTTTTCTTTTTTTTTTTTTCTTTTTGTCAGAATCTCACTCTGTTGCCCAGGCTGGAGTGCAGTGGTGTGATCTCAGCTCACTGCAACCTCCGCCTCCTGGGTTCAAGCAATTCTCCTGACTCAGCCTCCAGAGTAGCTGGGACTACACACATGCGCCACCATGCCCAGCTAGTTTTTGTATTATTATTACTATTATTTTTGAGACAGAGTCTCGCATTGTTGCCCAGGCTGGAGTGCAGTGGTGCAATCTCGGCTCACTGCAAGCTCCACCTCCTGGGTTCACGCCATTCTCCTGCCTCAGCCTCCCGAGTAGCTGGGACTACAGGCGCTCGCCACCTCGCCCGGCTAATTTTTCGTATTTTTAGTACAAACGGGGTTTCACCGTGTTAGTCAGGATGGTCTCGATCTCCTGACCTCGTGATCTGCCCGCCTCAGCCTCCCAAAGTGCTGGGATTATAGGCGTGAGCCATTGCACCGGGCCTCCAATGCTTTCAATGGAAAATAAAATAAAATAAAGGCCTAACAGTGAGGTAATGTTTACTTCTCTGCCACAACACTCAGTATGCCCCTTCAGATCTGGCAACAATTTAACATAAGGAAAGACTTTAGACCTTCACACCCTTTTAGCGAGGAAAAAAAAAAAATGACCTTAGCTCAAACTTTCCACAAAGCTGAGCAGTCTCATTAAGACATCACTCCATCCCTATCTTAGGTGGGTCTGTGCAAAAGCCTCAAGGCCATGTGTCTTGCAGGTCTCCATGCCCTGCACTGCCCAGCTCTGGTCTCTACACTGCAGAGGAGATCTCTATTTTCACATTTGAAGACCATGAACCCTCTGCTTCTGAATCAAAGGGGGAAAAACTGCAAAAGAAGCCATGTGCTCAAAGAAAAGAATGCCAAAGGGTATAAGTGGCTTGTGAAGAAGTTTCACAAAGCTGTCTCCATTTGCTAAAGCTATAAACTGTTATTGATCTAGTCAATAGCAAAATACATGGATGGCCAGGGCTTCTGTTTAAGCAAAAGAAGAAAAAATATCAATAGCACAAAACTGCCCTTATAGTTTTTGAAAAAATATATCTATTAAGATAAACAATTTTGATTTTTTCAATAAGCTGTGCATTAAGTACACTTTGTTTCCATCACTCTCATTACTCTAGAGCTCCGCTTTGTCCACCTGGGCTGGGCTGGCGACCCCACTGCCTCCCTCGGCGGCGTCACTGCTATCCGCAGGTGTGAAAGACAAGGCAGCCGAATTTATGCAGTATCTTTTCCCAGTTGGACGAGGCCCATCATCAAAAATGTGCCCAAGGTGAGCACCACACTGCAAGAGAAGAACAAAACATCAGGGAAAAGCATGTACAAAGCAGGCTTTGAGAGGAATTCACATTAAGCAGTTTAAATGGATGACCAGCCTGTAGAGAAATGAAGGAAACCATCGTGGATGATTTCTAATCCGCCTGTCAATAGCCGCAAAGATGGTTTCTGGCAGGCTTTGTGCCACATGCTGAGAATAAAAAACACCAGAATTGTGCATATCAGAAATCGTTTAAGAGCCACTGTATTTTTTGATCTGTGAAGTCTCTCAGCCGGCTGAAAAATGACTGCAGTAATTTTATGAATCAAGTTGACCCTTGATCTTCCCTTGTAAGAAACATGGCAGAATGAAATCTTTCCCCCTGGCATTACTTTTGGCTTTGGATGGGTGGGTTTCAGATATGCAGAAGTCCACTGAAAAGATACTGTTTAACTGGCCATGACAGAGGTGATGTTTGCTTTCATGGGCAGTAAAACTTAACATCAGACAAGCATTGGATGTTCTTGGAACTCAGCGAAGCAATGGCAAGGCTCAATGGATTTATGTCACAGTCACCAGGGCTGCAAATGTAGCAAAAGGAAACATCTCTAGCGTACACAATTGTTTTTTTCCTGGCTTCCAATAAGTAGAGTGTCATGTTGGCTTCTTTATCCAAATGAACTATAATATAAAGAAAAGGAATAAGCTGTTTAGCTAAAATCAAGTTTACTGACTATTCAAAAAGCTGGGGAAGAAGAGACATAAGGTCTAGACAGAGGCAGAAGGAGCATCATGTTGGTGTTTGAGAGAAATCCAGCCCAGAGAAAGTTTCTCCAAAAAGGCTGGCTCAGTGAATACCCCTACACTAACTGCGTTGATGCTGGGTTCAGCTCCAGGAAAGGAAGGTACATGTCACACTTAGATATCTACTACCCTCTTCCAGCAGGGACAGGGTGAAGGAAATGGAGACACTGGTGCACCATATTCAAGCAGGTTGTGAAAATCCATCATTTATCATGGAACAAAGAAGCCAAAGCCTGGGGTAAATGACTTCCATTCATTCACTTATTAATGGAGTGCCTGCTATATGCCAGGCACTGTTGTACACTCTGGAGTACAGGCAACAATACCTGGCCTCATAGAGCTTACATTCTAGTGGGAGAGACAAACAGTACACAAGAAAACAAGTGAACTATAAAGCATGGAAGGTAGAAAGCAATGCTAAGGGAGGAAAAAAGGAAGGTGATATGAAATGTTAGGGTGGTGAGAAGAGGCCTACCTGGGGTGACTTTGGAATAAGGATCTGGAGGAAGTGTATCTCTAGGGGAGGGCATTTTGAGGACAGGGAAGAGTCATGATTTAGGTAAGAGTATGAGAGAAAAAGCATATCAATGATTCGTTAATTCTCACTGTGCTGGTTTGGTGTATAAAACACTTACAAGTTTCAAGGGAAGAGTATGAATTGACAAGGGACTGGGGCTGAGATACCAAATGGAGATGAAGAGAGAAAAATGAGGGAAGGCGCTCATTACCATGAAAAGCACTAGAATCTTAGTTTCGCTGTTGAACATGCTAAGCTCAATTCTCAAGCGTTCCCTAGTTATTAATAAATAGCAGAAATAGCAACTTTGACTGTATGGCACTTCCATGTTAAAAGTGCATTCTCATTTCACTGCCAGCAAACTCTGTCAGTTTATTAAAGAGCTAAAAATGAACCCTGAACTGATTTGATCTATTGCCTAGAAAATATGAAACAGGCCTAAAAAACAAATCTTGTATTATTTTACCACATTCTATGCAGGTTTAGGTAATATCAAGGCTGACAGCTCAGATTGCTTTTCCTTTCTATAAACAATTGATGCCAAATTTTTAGGCATCCACAGCTAAGACGAACCAGTAAAAATACATATGCTTGCCCAATGGACACAGGAAAACACCCATTTCTGCCTGCCAAAATAGTCCAGGTGCCGTCCAACGGGAACTAGTGCTCTCGGTGACCAGTGTGTGTGCACAATTACTGATCTCAGATGCAGCTCCAGCACTTGGAACACTTGGCAGTTAAGAGATGAAGTTTTCACATACCTACAAGCCTTAGGGGTGTGTGTGTGTGTGTGTGTGTGTGTGTGTGTTTAATGAGAGAATGCAGCTATCTGGGAAAAATAAGTGATATTGCCTTTGCTAATAATCTCTTGAGCATCTTTAGAAAATATTTCTATTTATTCTACACCAAAAATAAAGCATAGTAAGGATATATTTGAAGGTGTTTAAGAATAAGTTATACGGTCTTAATTTCCCAAATCATATTTTAAAAATCCAAATTATAGTAATTGAATCTGTTGAATTGGGTTTTCAACCTATAGTTTCATTTGCTAATCTGGAACTAGTATTCTGGTTAAATAGAAAGGAAAACACTGATTCTAGGTGTGTCCCTAATACAAGGCAAAAGAAAAAGGAGAAGTGAGGAAGAGACATTATAGTTAGAAAAAGACAATGAAAACCATTTGCTAACAAATATATGGGTTGAGGATGGAGGTAGAAAAATCCTCAGAAACAGATTGAGTCCCCTGAAAATGATAGTTATGGCTTCATTATACTTGCCACAGGGTGCTCTGGAAGACTCACAGCAGCCTTAAGTTACTGAGGGAGTAGCATCATCTCAAAACATAGAAAGGTGTTCATCCGTATCTGTGGCACCACATACATGCCCACCCCACTGCCAACAAAGCCATTTGTCTGAGGGAAGCCTAACCATGCAGTACCATTCGTGCCTCCTCCCACGTAAACCTAGTCTCCCAGAAAGGACTGTTACCTGGTTTCTTTGAAAAGTGCACAAGCCTTAAAGGCTCCTTCCTGAGAGGATGCGCATGGAGCCCATTCTTTGCAGCTTCTAGTCCTGGGAAAGCTGGGAGGATAAATGGTAGTTGCCAGAGATGCATTGTTTCTTTTAGCTGCCTGCAAGCTCTGCCTCCCAGGTCCCAGCCAACTGGCAATGTGTTAAGGTCTCTCAGCACAATTGGTTGTAACTGAAATAAACTGGTTGCCCGATGAAGAAATCGCTGAGACCTGCTGTTAATGATTTATTTCAGGATAGAATCTTTAGTGTGCATTTTGAACGTTATTTTTAATGGTTATGTGTTTCTTTATTTCTCAGGTAAATGTACCTGAATATTCTGGTCTTCATTCTGAAGAGCATCAGATGATTGTTTAAAAGAAAAAATTTGAATTCTCACAAGAATCCTTTGTCACCTAAACCTCCTACTCAGAAACGCTGGCAGCTGAAGAATCTGCAGAGAACCAAGGGAAAGGACCCCCCTAAAATAAGTGTTTGAGCATCAAATTTAACATAATTCCTTAAAATCTGACTGCAGCTCTCAATTGTATACATAAGAAACACAAATAGTGTATTCAACACAGTTACATTTTTCTGCACTGATGTATTTCCCACTGTCTTAGAGGTTTTTCTCCTAGCTATTCCTAGGATGTTCAGGCTTTATTATTGTCATTTTCTCTTAAGTGTTTGATCTATGAAATGAAGCATTTTCAAAGCAGGGCTTTTACACTTGGGCACATGGGGCAGGATGGGAAGTTTTAAGAAAAGCAATCTACTTTGCCAGTAGTATTCTATTTTCTCCCAGTGTTATTGAAGACACTTGTGTGTAAGTGGGGGCTTTTTTCCTCTGTGCTTGTGATATTAATCTTTTGCCAAGGAAATGACTGTGAAGTCACCAGTTTAGCATTATGATTTTACTGAAAGATCAAGAAAAAGAGAGATGGGCTGTGAGTCTGAAGCCCTATTGTAACATATGTGTATCTTTAATCATCAGCAATATGTGAGTTGTCATCTGTAGAAGATTAATAAGGTTTGGGGTTTTTACCAAAAACTACTTAACTTTTGAAAAATACTTTCTATTGGTGCATATTTACCTTTCTGTTGATTTCGCTGACTTAAAACAAATTAATAATGATCTTAAACAAACTTAAGGGACTACACCATAGACTCAAGCAGTAATAGCAGAACTCATAAATAGACTCCAACACGGGCAATTTCAGAGATCTGATGGTTTCTGCAAAGAATATTACAAAAAGTTAAGTGATTTATTAGTCTCCCATTTGCTCCAGATGTAGAATTTTGATCTGAAGAGGGACGAATTCCCCAAGTATTCTAGAAGGAACTTACTTCACTGAACTACAGGTTAAACTGTGGAAATCTTACCTCTTTGCACTGAATTTAAACTCCTGACAAAGTGTTGCTTAACAGGCTGGGGTTGGAGGATTAGGGAGAGGCTGTCAAATAATTATTCATAGTAGTCAGTGAAACTGGAATAGAAGCGATGTATTTTATCACTAGTTGAAAATATAAATTAAATTAAGGAAAATTCTTTATGGCTGCAAATTGTTACAAAATGGCTGCAGCTGGAGGGAAAATACATGTGCCCACCAAAGTGAGTAAATTTAAGATGAAGATCCTCTTTGGAAGAGATAACTGAAATGTAATTCCTCAATTCAGTAGGTGGAATAACGAAAGAGAACAAATACAATTGCAACCAAAATCAGAATATAACAGGGTACCCATAGGCAGCAATTATAATGAAGACAGTGAAGAATCTCTCCCACCCTTGCTTGTTTTCAGTGCTGTCAATGCAAAGATTAGGCAGTGTGCTATTTCCTACACAACAATTCTTTTAGAAGAACCTCACTGCAAGACTTGTAGAAAAAGTAGTGACAGGACTGAACCAATCTTAACTCTCTCAGTAAAAATTTACTAAAAACATTATCTGAGAAGCCACTGGACACACGGACAAACCTCTTTACAATGTACTGTAAAGAGGTGGTAGGATATTGGCTCCCAATGAGTCTACAATTCCTATGCAAATATGAAGCCTAATTCACTGCATGCATGGTGTCATCCCTACCACAATTTTTTTTAAAAAAAGAATCCTAAGCACTAAAGTGAGAATTAGGTAGGAACCAAAAGAACAATGAAATATTGCCATATTGCCAAACTGCTGATCAGGTTGAGTCGATTTACGTTTTGTCCATGAAAGCTCAGTTCATTTGTAGAAGTTGGCAGTTAAAGGTTCTTTGTATTTAGATATTACATCTTTACCAAAAGGAGAGAAATACACCACATAACATATCCAACAGAAAATGTCTACAACACACTAAAAGCATCTAATAGATTTTTTATAACACAAAACATATTGAGGCAATTCAGTCCAGAGAAAAGATAAGCCACATAAATAAAAAATACAACAATAATTTTAGAAAGAGAGCAAACCAGGTAAGTTTCCCACATTATCTCACCAGCAAAAATAATAATAAAAAATAATAAAATAAAACCCTTAAAAAATGGGAGAAGTTGGCTGCATAAATGTCTTCTTTTGAGAAGTGTTTGTTCATATCCTTCACCTACTTTTTGATGGGTTTGTTTTTTATCTTGTAAATTTGTTTAAGTTCTTTGTAGATTCTGAATATTAGCCCTTTGTCAGATGGATAGATTGCAAAAATTTTTTCCCATTCAGTTGGTTGCCTGTTCACTCTGATCATAGTTTCTTTTGCTGTGCAAAAGCTCTTTACCTCAATTAGATCCCATTTGTCAATTACACCATGGAATACTATGCAGCCATAAAAAAGGAAGAGTTCATGTCCTTTGCAGGGACATGGATGAAGCTGGAAGCCATCATTCTCAGCAAACTAACACAGGAACGGAAAACCAAACACCACATGTTCTCACTCATAAGTGGGAGTTGAACAATGAGAACACATGGACACAGTGAGGGGAACATCACACACCAGGGCCTGTCGGGGGATTGGGGACTAGGGGAGGGATAGCATTAGGAGAAATACCTAATGTAGATGACGGGTTGATGGGTGCAGCAAACCACCATGGCACGTGTATACCTATGTAACAAATCTGCACGTTCTGCATGTTTCCCAGAACTTAAAGCATAATAAAAAATAATAAAATAAAATAAACGGGAGAAGTTCTGAGCAAGAGAAGAGACTACATGAACTGAAAAACTATAAGGTAAAAAAAGATAAAGAGATAATGAAAAAATAGTGCTAAAATGAGAAACTAGGAAGTAAAATACAAGTGACTGTTCTAGCATGGGAACTATTAAATCTTTTATTTTATCAAGTCAAGGTAAAAAATGATGCTTAGAAAAAGGAAAATTTAAAAAAAAAGAAAATTGTAAAACAAAAGGAAAGTAAATGTGCATGGAACACACAAATAAAAGACAGAGAAATTGAAATGAAAGATACCCAGTCCACTTGAATTCAGTATGCTGTTTTTGTGCTTAGGTGGCAGACACCCCCTCCTCCATCCACAAGGGCAAGTGTGTGGCACACATACTATTCGTTAGTGCTGGAACCTCATTCTCTCCTACGTGGAACTTACTTTACTCCAAAGTATGTATTTTCATACATGCCTTAGCAGAACAAATTCCTCTCCCTCTTTTCTTTAAATTTAAGAGTTCTATTTAAGAAAGGGTCAAACACTTTCTAAATATGAGAAGTGAAGGTTGTGGAAAAAGAAGTCAAAAGGGAGCAGGTCTGTAATGGTTCATCATACAACTGTTAGGAAAGAACAGGAACAGTCACCTTGGGCTTTAACTGCGGGGCCAACAGCTATCCTTGGTTTAGCTTGACTTCTTTTAGGAATGTTGCCTAATTTTGGCATTGTTTGTGGGTTTCATTTCTCTTTGGTCACTGTAGGATATCTTAATAATGATCTTTCCTAGACTATTACTGATGTTATCTCTGTGACTGGCACAGAGAAAGAAAGAAGTTTATTCCAACAGTGAATTATAAGAATTTGTCACAAAGAGATTGGAGAGTAGGGTCATAAGGAAAGTTAATATCTTATGCTTCATTTTTCTGTGGCTTTTAAATTTAGTTTTCATAAGATTCAATGTTTGAAAATGGGTTCTGAGTGAAAACGAGAAAAAAACGATCATGTAACAGCATTTGTAGCTTGAAAAGGAAAAGAAACAATGATAAGTCTTAAAAGAGGTTTACTAAATACTGTGTACCTAAGTTACAAATTAATGTGAGCCATCCTACTTATAGTTTACCTTTTTGTGACAGTTATAAAATCATCGATCAAATTTAATTGAATTTAAAGTAAATTGCAGGTTGGGCACGGTGGCTCATGCCTGTAGTCCCAGCACTTTGGGAGGCTGAGGCGAGTGGATCACTTGAGCTCAGGAGTTCAAGACCAGCTGGGCAACATGGTGAAACCCCGTCTCTACCAAAATTACAAAAAGTTATCCGGGTGTGGTGGTGCGTACCTGTGATCCCAGCTACTTGGGAGGTTGAGGTGAGAGGATTGCTTGAGCTCAGCAGGTGGAGGGTGCCGTGAGCCAAGATTGTGCCACCGCACTCCAGCCTGGGCGACAGAGTGAAACCCCATTTCAAAAACAAACAAAAAACAAACAAAAAAATCCCCAAAACTAAATTGCATTAAGCCAACTGCTGGAAGATCATGGGATTTTTAAATTTTAATGACTCTTTTCAAGCTGTCTATCTATCTGGGCACCATAAAGAGCTCTGGAGAGTACCCTAATTCAAGTCTCAGCTCCGCCACTTAAATCCACATAAACTGACCCAAGTTTAATTGTTCTCTTTGTGCGTCAGTTTCCTCAACTGTAACATAACAGAGAAAAAAAAGTACCTACCTCAGAAGGTTATTGTGAGCATTAACCAGAAGAGCTTTTAAAAATGCTGCTCCCCACACTAAACCCGTCCAATTACATTAGACCCTCTGTGGGTGAAACCCAGCACTAGAAAGTTCCACTATCACCATCAGAGACTCCATTCTGAGAAACAAGAGTGAGCTGAAAATGTGATTCAGATAAAATATGAAGTCTAATTTTCAAGGGAGAGAGTAGTCCTCACACTTGGAGGACAGGAAACTTGCCAGTCTTTTTTTTTTTTTAAATAAAAACAAAAATTCATCAGACGGTTAGGTTCAAACCAATCTCCCTCCCTACTTGGTAGTAAATATGCCACCTACTCCCTAAAAATCTTGTGCCTGGTGGAGGGGGTTAAAGAAAAATGGATAAAGGGCAGGTAAAGAATGCTGAGGGAGGCCCATATGGAAATCACTTTGCTATTACAGCTGCCTGATCATGCCCCTGTACCTCTGATATGTCCAACAGATTCCCCAACAAAATACCCTGTGGGGTCAATAACTTTCAATGCCACAATATTGCAAACTTTACATTTCACTTATTTAAAGCAGATTAAAAGAACAAGACTGACTTCCATAGAATACGCAGCTGCTCTTATTCCATGTAGATGGAGATTCTATGTCTCTGTGTTTAAGCACAAAATACCCACAAGTTCAAGTATCTCGATTGTGGGTGTCAGATTAACTATTTTTGCCTCCTCCTCAACACATGCTCATTTGTTTCCTTAGAGCCAGCATTAATTTGGTTAGAGCAGATGGACAGAACTAATTAGAAAATTATTGGAAATGAGGATGTCTGTATATGAGGAGAAGCAAAAAAGGAATTACCTTATCTCATATAGCTGACCTACCACTGAACTTTCACTTCCCACAGCCTCTCTTCAACCACCTTCCTCACACCCACATAAAAAAAGCCATTTCTGAGGTCTTCCTTGATTGTCTTTGGATCACTGCCATTAGAGGCATTCTGACTGAACAGTGGGTACACAGAACTGCAAGGAGAGGGAGATTATCAAAAATATCAGGTTATACAAAGCCACATAATGAATCTTCATATGCCCCAGGAACAGCCCACTCTTCACTTTACCGAGCCAATTGAAGATGATTTTTTCCTACCACTGATTTTGTTTAATAGTGGTGAAGCCAATAACTGGCTTTTACTTTATTTTATTTTATTTTATTTATTTGACATGGTCTTGCTCTGTTCCCCAGGCTGGAGTTTTATTTATTTATTTATTTGACAGGGTCTTGCTCTGTTGCCCAAGTTGGGGTACAGTGCACGATCACAGCTCACTGCAGCCTCCTGGGCTCCAGCAATTCTCCTGCCTCAGTCCCCTGGGTAGCTAGAACTACAGGCATATGCTACCATGCTCTGCTAAGTTTTAAAATATTTTCTGTAGAGACGAGGTCTCACTATGTTGCCCGGACTGGTCTTGAACTCCTGGCCTCAAGTGATCCTCCCCACTCGTCCCTCTCGAAGTGTGGGATTACAGGCATGAGCTATCATGCCGGCCTTAACATTCCACTAGACTTGCTAAACACCTGAACATAGGCATCCCTCGGACTTCATATAGACTTCGTCAAGCTTGTCTGTCCTTCTTGTGACCAGTCACTTGGCCTTAGTTGCTATATTTAGCATAACCAGGAGTCCTGAAAGTGTTTGCAATGCAGAGGGAGCAGTGTATTGGATTTTCAGAAAGGATGAACTCACCTGAGAGCAGCTTGTTTCCACCCTGTGCATCCCATGGGAAAAGTCATCTGTGAATGTGATTGCCTCAGAACTGATCACATCGTGGAATGAAGGCCAACCTGGGGCACAGCAGGCACAAGAACCAAAGCAGAGACGAGAGTTACATAGCCTTGGGTTAGAATGCATTTTAAAGAATACTAAGCAAATAATGAAAATCCTTAGTGTATGTTTAACATTTCAACCTGAAAAAAAGAAAGGTCAAAAGCTGAAGGAAAATATATTTTACAAGAGTACAGTAATTTTTTAACCCCTTCCTCACATTCAGATTACAGTTGCATTGGGGTTTGGTGCTTCATGAGACATTCTTAGACCATCCAATAGTTTTCTAAAGCATCCTTGAACTTAGAAGGTTCTCTCTCACCACTCTTTCTCTTGTCTTCAGAGTCACTGGGCATGGCCCTGAAGCACTAAGAATCTTCCATTATGATGTTTTCCAAAACACAATTAGTTGGTCTGGCTGTTAACTTTTCAACTACTCCATGTCTCCTTAGAAAGCAAGCTTTTTCAGTACTTAGTTTAGATAGTTAAAATATTTTTTTAAAAAAACAACTATCCTGTTATCACCATCCTCATCTAATTTCCTGGAACAAGGGCTATCTGGAAATCGTAGCATCTATCTACTTTTATGGGCAAGAAGCTTGTTCACTTCACAGGCGACTCATAGAGCATCAGTCCTCAGACATCTCTGGGTAGCACCTTGTCTCAAAGAGCATCTAGTTCCAATTTTTATTTATTCTAGTGATTTTAAAAATATATGCACACTTTAAGAAACTTGATGGTAAATGGATCATAAGATTGTACAAATGTTTTGAGGGTACAGTCAGGTTTTATTGTTTTTATGTTTTTATGGCATGTTTTTATGTTTTCCCAAAATATGTCTGGAGTTACTGAGCTGAAGCCTGAATCCCCAAAATGATGAAAGAGGGGCGATATTGCTGAAGTGCTGGTGCATTTTTTTTTTTCTTTTTCACAAGTCAAATTTACTTCTGCAGAAAGGAAGAAGCTTGTTAAGAACCTGGTGCTTTGTGGTAATACATCTATTGAAAGAAAACAGAATGCAGACTTCAACAACATGATTTGCAGTTTCAAACAAAACAAATCAGATTAGGCCAAATCCCCCAAGTTCCCTCATCTCCCACAGTGCAAGAGTATAGTATTGATAGTCAGTGCTAGATTTAACACCGAGAGTTTTAACACTTTCCAATTCCTTGATTTGAGCTCAAAATTGCTACAAAGCACCAGGAAAACCTTAACTTTCCAGGCTATACCCTTTCACAAAAATTAATTATGCTGAGACATACTAGTATTCTTAAGAAAATGAGTATCTTCCCATTTTCTAAATTCTAAAGAGAATTTCAATATATTCCAGGCTATAATATTTGGTTCACAATGGTTACTTGACACATTTAGGGGTTCTTCTTTGTTAATAATAGAAGTGCCAATTGCTAGTGAAAACAGGTTTAATGGTGATATTTGAGGACATTGAAAAATAAAGTCATTCATCTATGAAAAGAAAGAAAACGTTCTGTATTTTCCTTTTTAACCTTCAAGGGCATAACTCATTTAATTGCAATTTAAGGCAACTAATATTATGGGAGGGACACACTTGATTTAGTAGTAAACAGGCAAACAGGTTTAGGAGTTTCGTTGTTGTGTTAAATTTACTATAAAGCTACCTTACCCCAGCACCACATAGTCCTATTCCTAGAATTCAAAATAGGTATAGAGAAATAGATATACACACATATATTTTTCCTTTATGCTACATTGCATCTTATATTTATTTATCTTGTTCTAGACATCACCCTGGATTTGTAATTTATTTTCATGCCTTCCTCCCTAACTAGTTAGTGAACACCTTGAAGGCAGAGTCTAACCTCATTGACCTGAGTATTCTTATTGCCTAACACAGTGTCCAGTACAAAGGCACAACTCAAATGTTTCTTAAACTGATTTCCAGTTAGCCTTAAATAAGCAAATGAGATCAACAATTACAGCACATCAGAGAGTTCCACAAGAAAGAGAAAGAATAAAATCGTACTGCTTACAGACTAAATTAGGAAATGTCAATGCTAGTTTCTCACTGCAGTACCCAACTTGGCTCAATCACTGTAATTAAGCCTCTTTATGTAGGGGAGAGGTTTACTTCTTGTGTATTTAGGAGAGGAGAAACATGAAGTTCATATAGTTCACTCATTTTACAAGGTTTTGGGGGTGGGAGGGAGGAGAAAGATAAGTTATTTGCCAAGGTTACACAGGCAGTAAGTAGCAAAACCAAAACTAGGATATGAATACTCTGACTTTAGGACTCTCTTCTCATGTTCTACTTTCTTCCTCAATTTTTTCTACCTGAATTAGATATGCACAGGATTTTCCAGAAAACTATATTCAAGAATAGAGCAGGATGAGGGAGGTTGAAACAGAGTGCAGGTCTCAAAAGATTTCAGTGTTTCTGGGAAACTGTTGATGCTTGAATAGTTTGTTGTTTACCACGGCATTATTTAAACATTAGAAGAGACACTCAAAAAATAAAAATAAATAAAGATATTTCAAAACTCCCAAAAACTCACAATCTCCCTTTGCCCTGTAGAAGAGATGGCAGTTTTCAAAATGGAATATTCAATATGTCAACCCAAATCTTGATTAGTGGAGATGGACAGGAAAAACCACGCTGGAGACTGTAACTCCCTGTGGTGGAACACACATTTCAAAAGAGAATCATGACTAACTTGGCCAATAAGGTTAACAAAGGAGAATGCTGAGTTGCTTTGCTAGACTTCTCAGAAAAAGTGACATTCTATAAAAGAGTACATCAGAAAGGTAAGTACTTAATGACAATCAAACTAAGAAGGACCTTCCCACAATAATAAATTGTCTTATGGCAGGGAAGCCACAGTGATGACAGCACTTTGAAAACGGAATTCCCTCATCATGTGAAAGTATTTAAAGAAGGAACTCTTCACTGCTGTAAAAATCCTCAAAGGAAACCTTGCCCCCACTCCTAATAATAAGGAAAGTGCTTCAAAGGGTGATAGGCAAAGACTGAAGCAATCTGCGTCTTGTTGAGAAAATTATCTTGAGCAAAAGGGTGGGGGAAGGGGAGTGTGTTTATGTCAGTTTTGACATTAAAGAAAGATAATCCATCCTCCTTTCTCTAGGATTTTCCTTTTGGTCTTCCAACAAAACATTATTTGTTTTGGATGCATTCCATGCACTTTTTAAAAGAAAAGTCATGTGAAAACCTGTATAAGCAGTGTCAGTTCACCCCACCCCCAATACATCCCTTAGTTTCTATTTGATGAGACTGGATTAGGCCTATTATAATTTCATTTCAAATAATATAAACTGTACATTTTAGATATTAGCCTATTATTATCAAGCCTATTATTAGCCCTTATTTTCAATAAATAGTTTCACCCCTCAAAGAATTCCCATCTCTAGATAGCAAATAAATATATGTAGTACAACTGAAGCAGGCAGGTTGAAATATGGCAGTTCTGCCTCAATTTTATTCACCTATCAGGCCACACTCATCTGCAGATATAATATCATACTACTCATATCATGTGAAGCAACTCCAGAATATGCTCATCTTCGTCTCAAATATAAGAGCAAGTGATCCAGATTAGTTGTTTTAGCTTCTTTGGTTGGTGCTTGCTATATCATCTACACTAGAATGGATTTTTTTAGATTGCAGTATAAATAATTATTCCCCCTCCAACCCATAATTGAATAATGGCATAGCTCTCCAGTAGTATTCTGTTGACAAATTCTAAATGCTTCATGCCAACTGCCTCATAAGGAAAACTTTCTTAGCTCTCCATCCCAATCAATCCCACCTTCTTTAAAAAAATCTGTGAAACATGTTGTTAAAGTTAGCAACAGAGTGTAAACAAGTTGAAGCCAATTCTATCTGTATCATGTCTAGAAAATGTGGCCCTCATTGTCCTATTCTTAATTTAACAAGAACTGCTATTCAGCTTCCACTTCCCCTAATCCTTCCCCACCCTAAAATAAAAATTAGAAACCTTGGTAGTCAGCTACATGACTCATCTGTAGAACCTAGCAGAAACTACTCATGAATGAGAACTTATTGAATTGAAAGGTAATTACACATGTTTTGTTATTTTCAAATGTAAAGTAAGTTTGAACACAATGAATCCCACTGGGTTTGGGTGATGATTCAATAATGATGATACATATTTTAGCACAGTTTTGATGAGACAAGCTGGAGGTATAGGTCCTTATTTGTGTGTGTATCAGTCCTCACAGCTCTCTAATTCCAGGCCATATTTCTTTTTTTTTTTTTTAATTTATTTATTATTATTATACTTTAAGTTGTAGGGTACATGTGCATAACGTGCAGGTTTGTTACATATGTATACTTGTGCCATGTTGGTGTCCTGCACCCATCAACTCGTCAGCACCCATCAACTCATCATTTACATCAGGTATAACTCCCAATGCAATCCCTCCCCCCTCCCCCCTCCCCATGATAGGCCCCTGTGTGCGATGTTCCCCTTCCTGAGTCCAAGTGATCTTATTGTTCAGTTCCCACCTATGAGTGAGAACATGTGGTGTTTGGTTTTCTGTTCTTGTGATAGTTTGCTAAGAATGATGGTTTCCAGCTGCATCCATGTCCCTACAAAGGACGCAAACTCATCCTTTTTGATGGCTGCATAGTATTCCATGGTGTATATGTGCCACATTTTCTTAATCTAATCTGTCACTGATGGACATTTGGGTTGATTCCAAGTCTTTGCTATTGTGAATAGTGCTGCAATAAACATATGTGTGCATGTGTCTTTATAGCAGCATAATTTATAATCCTTTGGGTATATACCCAGTAATGGGATGGCTGGGTCATATGGTACATCTAGTTCTAGATCCTTGAGGAATCGCCATACTGTTTTCCATAATGGTTGAACTAGTTTACAATCCCACCAACAGTGTAAAAGTGTTCCTATTTCTCCACATCCTCTCCAGCACCTGTTGTTTCCTGACTTTTTAATGATCGCCAGGCCATATTTCAAAATTTGTAGTATTCGGATTATTTGTA